GCTTAAGTTGCTTCACTGGACCAGCGTGGTGATGCACCTCAAAAAAGGGGTTAGGCACTGCCGCTGTGTGCTTACTGAAATGTTTCCTTTAATCTTTGTAAAATTACTGTTAAGACATCAATTCCAACGGTTTTCAGTTTTGACACAAAACTCAGTGAATTCTCCTGGAGCAGCAGCAAACCTCGCAGAGAATTAAATTTCCATGGTATAAACTACAGACTTACAAAATGCATCTGTTTTCATCCCTAACGCTATAGGTGTGGGAAGCCGAGGTGTCACTATATTCACTTGTCTTTAATTTACTCTCCTTTTGACCATCAAATCTTCAAGTGCTTCACAGTGGAAAGCCCTATGTGGGGTTAAGAAGTGCAGCCAATGCAGCAGAGGGTACCATCTTATGAAAGTGTGAGAGTGATTAGAGAAATTGGAATAACAAAGACTTATTCTCCTTCCCAGGTGGTCAGGGGCTGGAGAACATTCAACTGTACGTTCATCTGCCGGTTTCTCAAGGGTCATGCAAACGAGATCTGAAGGGAATCAAAGCTGAATCTCTGTTGGTGTCTATGAACTATGAATCAGGTCTCAAAGCCTCTGATACTCTGAACAAAGTCTAGAAGACTTTCTCCTACCTCTATCAGCCGATGTCAATACAACAGTCTTCTTCATGTGTGATGAAGAAGGTCCCCATGAAGAACTTTTAGGGAGCCTTTTGATTTTACTAATGCCATGCTGCAAGAGCTGGGGGGTGGGAGTGGCAGGGGGAGAACATGCTGCTTTGAATATAGTCAGGTTTTGTTTTTTTTTTTTTGTTTTTTTTTTTTTTTTTTAATCTGAAGAGACATCATTAACTTTCCCCTGTCATCTGAATGTTCAGGAAACAAGGGATCAGGAATAGCTCCTCAGTTCCTGGGATGCTCTTAGACTGTTTTCAGCATACAAGCATGTGATGATGCTGGACGATTTATATTTTAAATGAAAATGCATCTTGTAATTATCAAAATTTCACTCATAAAGAGAAATTATTGCTCGCCCAGTTGTCTGGGAACAGAGCTGACTTGATTGCTGGGAGTGAATGTGGTCTGAAAATAGTCATCTAACAAATGCTCTTTAATTTATTTTCTTGAATAGTATATATCTGTTTGCTGTGTAGATTAAATTGGATACAACCCCCTCCCTCTGCCCCAAGGTGCTTGGCATCTGGAACTTGCTGGTAGCAGATTCGAAGTTTAGTCCTTAAATTGTGAAGGGTCTTTCTTCATCTTGCTCCCTCTACAAAACCTCTTGAAACTTGGTTCTTGGGGGTTTAACCATAAAATTTGTCCTTTTTAAAAAGATGTATACGTATGTGTCCATACACTTTTTCTGTCCACTCTGCAAGCTCTCTCTAAAAGTCCACTCAAACGTCTTCAGTCTGGTTAACTGGGGGGAAAAAAAAAGTTTTCATTACCTGATATCTGATCAGAAACATTGTGAGATCTTCTGCTGCTGCTGCAACCAGAAGCCTTCATAAAGCTGCAGACTAAATCTGTGGCGTCTCCCCAGGGCTGCATGTTGTCTGGGTTGTCTTCTCATGAAAGCCTGTATAATTCCTCGGGGACATGGAAGGCAGCAGCAATAGGGCAGCAGGCAACATGTCAAAAGCGCTTATTGTCTCATTTTTTATACCTTCTCCATTTTGTTCTGCCCTGGTTTTGATTTGAGGCAAGGGCCTTTCGTCAGTTCTCCATGTGCCACAGCACTGCTCACCACAATGGCTTGTAGGTCCTAGTAATCTGTGGCGAGGTCCTTATCAGCAAATTCCAGGAACTGGTCTCTAGAAGAAGGGAAGGATGCTTTCCTCTTTCAAGAGCATGTTGTCCTCAGTCTGCGTGGCCATGCCTGTTGTTTCCTTAGCATAGGTGGAACAACAGCTTTCTGTTTTGAATATGCCAATAACTGAAGAGCCTTTTGGGTTTGAGAATTTGACCTTGGAGGCTTTCTGCAAAGTGTTGAATTCCAGTTGCTTTTCACAGATTTAGTGGTGTCTCCTAACCTGTCGCTCCAGTTACAGTCTCCAGTACGAAGAGAATGTGGTGACAACCTCAGACCTCCTCAGAAACCCAGAGATTTGGGGCACTTCAAGTCTGAAAATCTAAAATTGGTTCCACTGCTTAAACCTACTGAAAGCAGAGGTTTCCCAAAAATGCTTTTATCAACCCCCTTTCCCCAAAGGAAAATACCCCATCCTTCACTTGTTGTTTGCTCCTGGCCCGCTAGCACTAGGCAGGTGGTACCCATGGAGGTGCATTACCTGTGAGTGGGGACAACGCTGTGCCCTGTTCCATCTTGCATTTCCTCCCACCAGCACATGCCCAAGGCTGTTTTCTCCACAAACTGTCCCTTCTCCCCATTTCCATTCTGCCCACCACCAGTTTTTACCTCTTTCCCAGCTCCTGTCTCTGTTTGGGTTGAGCACCCTCAACCCAAACGTGCCTTTGACACGGAGAGTGGATGAAAACAATTTTGCTGTAACATGAATCTACTGGAGTGTATAATGTATCTGTGGAGAGACAGGAGAAATATTTACCAAGCTCATTACAGACTTAATGAGCCAGGATTCAGAGAGGTGGAACAGCAAACATCTCCATTCTCTGGATGCCGCAAAGCAAAGCCAGGGCTCTGAAGAGGAGCTTTCATTTCATTAAACAATTTTATTTTCAAGCTCCACTCATCATTACTACAGTCCTACTGGCAGCATTTCCTAGTAGCTACTCTAAGAGGAAAGTCTTCAAACCTTGCACTTGGTTCAACAGTTAAAATTGCCATTGGACTGGCTACAACGCTGTGGCTCGGCAGTTAGGAAGCAGTTTTGCATATTCAGGTTCTGGTGTAATATTAACAGGTCCTGGCATACAAGAAGCAGATGGTTCCTTTTCTAGGGATGAAGTCAAAAGCTAAATGTTATCCAAACTACCGCAGCAAGTTGGTGGTGAAGCGTGATGGAAAACAAGAAGTACCTTGGTGCTCTGAATGCCAAGTTCTTTCTATTCAGGTGGTTTGAGCGGTTTTGTTCCTTGTGTTTCGTTACCGCAGCAGCAGCACGACTGATTGCAGAGAAACCACCGCAGGAGCAGGTCAAACAGTATTTTGGAAGGTTTCCTCCTTGTGATCTGAGGGAGCGTGGTCTTGGCTCTGGTTGCAGAGAAGTTGGGCACAGTACAACAGACTCTGTTCTTGAGAATCTCCAGCTCAGTTTAAATCCTCCTCGTTGTGGTGCTCTGGCATGACTGTAGCCACAGAAGAATATTACTGGCCTCCCCGTGGCACAGACAGCAGTTAAGGAGAACTGGGAAGCAGGAAGGGCAGACCCTGCTACATAGAAGCATGTCCAAGAGCTGGCAGAGAGCGTCTTCTTCAGCTACAGGGAACGAGGAGAATGGATGTACAGAAGAGGCGCTGGCTTCTGTCTGGGCAAAGTTTCAATCGTCGTTTTTGATCGTGTTCCCGATGCTGAAATCCAAGTTGGCTGGTGAAAAATGCCCACCCCTTTTTTTGGAATGTGCACCCACATCCACCTCTCGCAAAGCAGTGCTCGGGTAGGATGGCACACACGTGGTGTGGCACCAGCCAGTAACGTGGCCCCGGCAAGGTTCCTGTTTGGCGCCGTGTCTGCTCGCCCCCCTCCCCTCCCCTGGCGTGGCTTGGTCCTAGCACGGTCTCTGCGCTCGTTTACAGCTCGACCAACCGGCACACAAACCCTTTCCTGGGGTGTACCGTGGCTCAAGAGGTTCCTTTGCTAGGATCTCACAGCAGCAATGGGGAATGAATCCCGTGACCAGCAAGACCCACACCTGGGCGGTTGTTTCTGTCGTGCCTTAGAAGCGCATTGCCCTTATGGGTCTTTGCCTTAAAGTACTTGAATTATGAGTGATACTTACCCGGCTCCATCCGTCACCCGAGGAGTCAGATCCCTCCCCCCCCAACACGTGACCTTGTGATCTGACAACCTAACAACCAGAAGCAACTTTATCCTCTTCCTCATTAAATCTGAGCCCTGGCACTTGGCCTGCACCCACGTCTTCCCTTGAGTGTTTGTCATTTGGGAAATTCTTAACATGTCCCCGTGCCACATAATTCAAGTGGAACTGTGATTCGAAGGTCAACGGCAGAATTTCACGCGTGGGATCCTCAAAATGCACATGGTTAGACACATCTCTGCCTTGTGAACAGTCAGCAATGGGGCGAGCTTGTTTGAAGGCAGCAGTTTCCCTCCCAGCTCCCACGGATGGCCTTTAAGCACTTAAAACCCAGGTGCACCTCTGAACCTTACTAGAAATGTCTCAGCGGCTCCGTCGTGGGGTAGTTGTGGCAGTGGTAAGATGCATTGCCTGTCTCTGGAAACCAAGACTGGCGAGAGGCTCCTGTTAGCCAAGCACTGAGGTGTGGTGTCTAGCTCGTCCCTGTAACTCCTCATGGTGCTTCCAGTAGTGAAGTCAGGCCACCATTTTTCAAAAAGCCCGTTGATTTCTGTGCTGAAACGGAAGCCTGAGCATCCGGGGGATCTGACAGGGGAAACCAAATGTCCACAGCTTGTTTGGTTAGATTCCCATTCCCGGGATTCCCCTTCCATGCTGGGGAACCGTCCCCTCCTCGGGGAACGCCAGCTTGTAAGCGCTGTCAGATGCTGCCGAGGCACGAAGGTGCTGGGTCTGGTGCTGAGGAAAGAGTTGACTCACCAGCTTTAAATGGATAACTAACGGCTAGAAGTGAACAAAATAACTAGATCCTGCCTTTGGCTATGGAGATATCAGGAATTCAGTGGTCTTGCGGTCCTGGGAAAAAGACACTGCAGCCCATCTCTTATCAGAGAACTACTGCTAAGTGGAGAAAAGCTGACGGCAAATATTGACTCTCAGATCAATTCTGTTTAAAGTGCAATGTTTGTAGCAGAGCTTGGACACAGGAAGGTCGGGTGTAGGATCAAGGCTGCATTTATATAAAGACAGAGGGATATGCACTGGGGGAAAAGACCAGAGGATTTTGAAAAGCACGCTATGAGGATCTTAATTTTTGCCCTCACACTGAGCGTTTTCTCGTGTTCAGGTAAGTTGCTCAGAATGGAGCGACGTCCTCTTTCTTACGGTGGTTTAGGGAGGAAAAGTACAAGACCACAACGAACTTCTAATGGAACTCTGCCTCCGTCTCAGGGTTTCCAGTGTACGACTACGAACTCCCTGTCACAGAAGAGGCTCTCAATGCTTCCATTGCAAGGATCAATTCTCAGTCCTGGGGGACAAACCTGTATGGCGTTGTCAGGAGCCATGTCACAAGAGTAAGTGCACAGAGAGTGGAGATCCTTTACCTGAAATATGCTTTGCTGTGATGGAAAACTCTTTTTCACCCAACCCTGGAAACCCAGATTTAGTTGGAGTTTTCTGATGCTGCTCCAAGAGGGCGGGTTTGGGGCATTATCTGAAGTTATGCCTCTAGGAACCTCAATATTCTTTGTATGTTGGTTTGTAATTAAAAATACTTTAGGAATTCAAGTTTTCCACCCCTAGGATAGAAATCTTCAAGGGATGTCTTGCAACATTTTATTCAAAACTGGTGGCTTTAAATACCTCCAGCTAACTGCTTTGCTCTGGGCATAAAGTAATCTGGTTCACCTGAAGGTCTCAGCTGAATGTCCACACTGCTAATTAAATGCCACTACAAACACATTCAGGATTCTTTTTCCAATCCGTTTTTATGTCATCTGTCTCTATACTCCAATTTTAGTTTAAATCTGCTGGTGTCTCAATGCAGGCAGGAAACGCCTATCTGTTTTAATTTGTGTTGCTAAGAATTATGTTGGATAGCCAGGGTTAAGGAGTTGAAGCTTCCTAATTTAAAGTTAGCATGTACACGTTTCTGAACATCCTCAGAACCATTCTGTTTCTATAGATGGCAAGAATGAATGACAAAATGACTTTTGGATTCAACTAGTTTGGGGGAAAAAAAAAAAAAAAGTACTTGAAAGCAGTGGGGATTTGCTGTTTGTTAGGGGTGTTTTAGGGGTTGTTTTGGGGTTTTTTTTTGAGTCTCCCATCTTGAGCTAAAACATTGATTAGACTCTGAGAAGGAGAACAGAAAATTCTGATGTGTCAACAAAAGCAGTGAAACTCTCTAAAGCTTTCAGTGTTTCCTGGACGCTGCCCATTGAAGCACCTGAGCTGACAAGGGGCGACCCTATCAACTGCATTAATTCAATTGCCTGCGGTTGTGTGATTGACTTTCCAAGTCACGTATTTGCAATAACCTTCCCAGCAGCCCAGATGTCCACAGCAGAGCTGTTAGCACCCTGGTTCCCACAGAAGAGGGGGTAGCATGCAGGGGTAGTGCTATGCTTATCTACCTTTGACAGCTACAGCCCCCCGCCAACCGACTCTGAGCAGTAGGACCCAGCAATGCCTGTGAGGTTTCAACTGAAACCCCCGTGGAAAGCTGTTCTGTGTTGCCGTTACCAAATCTGCCTAAGAGAGTAATTCCTGAGCACAATAAAATAGCCGTTCTCTCACACAGTAATCTGCTCTAAATGGGGCACTGACCCATGATGCCTTTATGTCTTGCTCCTGCTTGACGAAGCAGCGAAGTTGCCATGTAGTGGGCCTAGGAGAATGACAGGCACTAATTCTATGTTGTGTTGACCTTCCTTTTACCAAGGTTGACATGTGGAACAGCGATGCCTACAGACTAGAGCTGCAGTTCAGCATTCGTGAAACTGTGTGCACAAAAGCTTCAGGAAGGGACCCGTTCACGTGTGACTTCAAAATGGGGCCTTTCGTGGTAAGCGAACCCCCCCTCTCCCTGCAGCATGTTCTCAGGACGTGTCGAAACGCTACTGGTGCTGAAGGATGAAGAATGACAGGGTTTCTGAAAACAAAACCAAACCTGAACAATTGCAACCCGCAGCATGGAGTGGGTGTTAGGTGGGAAGGGTCAAAGCTGGGGAATTCTTCTGCCGGGTCAGGGGGGAGTATGGGAACTGCTGTGAGCTGAAAAGGGGATGCGGGGTGTCTTGGAGCAGCGTGTAGTGAAAGTGTCTGTGTGCTCTGGGATCAAATTCCGGAAGGATCATATGGCTTCTTTTCTAAGATAAGAGGGTAGAAAAACTGGTGTTTGACCTGCTTTTGTCTATCATGCATCTAGGCACCATATAAAGGCTCATCTTCCTATGTAGTGCAGATTCCCACCTCGTGCTGTGTGACAGCGCTAATCTTTTTCAGATTTTCATTATCTTTTCAGCCTGAAATAAACACGAATCAGGCTCTTGATACAGCTTGTGCTCTGCTCTGATTCTTAGATGACCAGCTTTGGTGTAAATACATCACCTTTGAATCTGGACTTCTCTGTGCACAGCTATTTTTACCAAAACATGGCTCCCACTGCAAGCTTCTGAGGGGCTGTGTCCTAAGTGCTTGCACAAATCTTACAAAGCACGTGGACTAGCTCTTGCATCCCTGTGTGCAACAATGCTGTACTGCATGTCAGACTTCCACAGAGGTTACCTCTCCTCTTTTTGCTGCTCCTAGCTGAGCTCTTATCACCCTTTTTCCCCCTGTGAATGGCTGCCAAACCGATCTGTCCCTCCTGGACACACTCTTTGGGGAAGAGGAGGGATTTGGGGAAGGCACAGAACAGACAGCACAAAGGCTTTCCTCATAGCTTATGAGTCATGCTACTCCCTTGGGAGGTGGCTTGCTCCATGAAGAGGGGGGTAAACATCTCCTTGAGTATCGCTGCTCTGGGACTAAGCAGCTTGTGCGTGCGTGTAGATGGGACAGCACGGAATTGACGGGTATTGCTGTGAAGTTATCCCTGTATCCTAAACAGGCACCACCCCTCTTCTTTTCCTCTTGAGGCAATACAGTATGAAAGATCGTGTGGGGATCTCTGTTTTCCAAACTTGGGTGACAGGTTTTGCCGAGGCTTCTGTCAAATCACAGAGACAACTTCTTTAAAGGTAGTTTAATTTCTAGAGCTGGAGCTGCCATCAGCGTAGCCCTGCACAGCTCTTCTGTTTGCAATGGGTGATGCCAGGGCTAGGAGAAGGATTTGGAGATTTTCTTCTACCTCAAGCAGGCTCAAAGCTTCGTACAGCTAATATGTAATATCTTGCCTATTAGCAAGCAGAGCAGTAACTTGTGTATAGTCATGTGCTACCAGAATATATTCATCTGGCCACAGTCTGCTCCAGTAATTTGCTGGGTGTAATAATCTTGCTTGAGTTTCCTCCTTTTGGAATTTGTTTTTAAAATCCCTGTACAGGTTCCCACCCGCAATGAAAATCCCATGAGAGGGTTTGCACTGTAGCTCTGCTCTGTGAGATTTGCTCTATTTTGATCTGTTACAGCCAACAACTTTCTGCAGAAGTGTTGTGGACGTCTCCGGTGAGCGGATCTCGAACATTATTGTGCAGTGCCATCATGGCACATCCAGCTCCGAGTCGATGAGCAGCGAGGAGGTAAGGAAGGGGAAAACTGATTTTTGCTGCCTGGGAGAGCGAAAATTCTGCTCATTCTCTTTTAAGAGGTCGGGTGTGTATGTGTGAACTGCAACTCCTGTTGCAGTTGGCGGTTTTGATCTTAAAATTGAATGTGGTTTGAAATCCAGTTGTCTGCTAAAATGCTTCACTTCCCATCAGCTGCGAGGTTTGACCCTGCTTGATGGATGCCTGGGGAGAGTGTGAATCCCTGCGGCAGTCTGGCACATCCACCAACTCCGACACAATTTCTTCGTTGACATGTAGAGTATGTGCCTGGAGAACAGTGATTGGCACATCTTACAGACAAAAACAAATACCGATGGCTCTGGCTCTGTTACCAGCCCAGCTCTCGGCTGAGCATGTAATCACAGCGTAGCTGCAGAACATTTGCTCTGCTGAGGTTTGTGTTCCCTTTTCAAGCTCTTATTTGGTTTTTAAGGTACGATTAAATGCTCACCCAACCTGTGAATTCCTGCTAGCTGTTTTCAGATCACGCCAGTCTCCACTTTCTCCAGGAACTGACATTTGAACCTGGGTGCCTGCACTTACAGCACAGATCTACAGTGGGTGTTGTGCTGGAGGATTATACGCAGGGAACAAAGACAGTTTCACAAGCAAAGGTGCCGGAGGATATGGACAGCTTTTATTTTTGGAAGGCGCAAGTGACTAAATGAATAACTTGAAGCAAATAGGATTGTGTGTCACCTTTTCTTAGTTTGAATTGCCAAGTTAGCTTGTAATTTTTATTTTTATTTATTTTTCCTTTGTTGTTCAGAATCTCTATAGTGAATGCACCACAGGAAGTCTTGATTTGCAGAGCAGAAAGACTGCACGTCAAGTAGTGAAATATGTAACATAGTCTTGGATGTTCAGTCTGTCCTCTGTGGGTTAAGCATAACTCTTGTTTAATAGGGCACTCAGTATAAACACTTGCTTTTACAAGCAGACATCTTCCTGCAAGTCTTCTTTAACCATCACTTACAATTCAGTGCTGCTGCCAATATTCCTGCTGGGGAATATATTTCCTGCAATGTTAATAAGGAATAAATGCCAAAGGGAGTTATTGCACATGAAAAGGGAAGTATTTCTTTCTGCAGAGGGCTGCAGCAAGTGCACCGTAGCTCTTGCTCTAGAGCTGTAACTCAGTTCAGGAGATCTCAGCCTGGCTGAGATGGTGTGGTGTAGCTGTGGTGGATGGTGTCGGTGTAGCTCCCATAGTGCTGGTGGCGTTTGGATAGGAGGAGGAATTGTGATTGGCTGAGCCTGGGAACGTATTATTTGGCTAGAGACCAACAAAAGAAGAGTATAGAGAGCTTTTACAAGAGTAATTTGGGATAAATGAGTCAAAGAGGTGCCCTGTGTGACTGCAACACTAAGTCTGCTCTCTGGGCTCTGCTCTCTTGGCTGTATCTGCACTACAGGAAGGTCGGGTAAGGTGTTTAAGTATGAAAGATGTTGACCTGAGAGCCCACCTGCAACTGCAGACTTCCTTAGCGGCATCACTGCTTTGCAACAGCATCAGCAGTCATCTTGTTTTCAGAGAAATTAATAATGAAGTTTGGAATGTCTTCAGTGCTCCCATAGTACCTGAGGAAATGAAGGAGAGGCGGACTTCCTGACAGATGAGCTTTTTAAAGAAACGCCTTTGATTTACAGATGATGCATATGCCGATAATGAGCCCCAACAGGCGAGGCAGCAGTCGCAGAGAAGGTAAGCTATTTCTGCCATGCTGGACTGTCCTGGCACGTGTTTGCCTTTTGGATCATCTGTTCAGACCATCTGAAGGTCATCTGTCTGAGGGAGAAGAAAATACGGAAGATCAGCAGTTTTCTCAGGTCACGGCCAGCATCTTTTTCCTTCGCAGAGGGGTGTCTCGCTGAGGAAGCAGTGGGGGCATCAAGCTGCAGAGTTGGGCAATGCTGGGCTTTGTATACCCTGTACACACATTTTCTGGATTGCCAGATTAGTGCCCTCATTACCAGTGCTTGTGTGCATCCTTGAGGTTGTCTTGATGTTGTGCGGAACGCTGAACGAACGTGTTTGAAAGCATGTAACACTCACGTATGTCTCCATGTTCTTTTTTAAAAAAGATGTATTTGCTCCTGAAGCCTTCCCTTCGAGGGGAAGAGGCAGCAGCCATGGAGACTGGCATAAACCCAGATATTTCAGCTCCGACAAGATTGAATAATATGGTTTGGGTGAGTACAATTCAAAGTGTAGCTTTTATGCACCCTCGGTCTGCAGGTTTTGTGGCAGGGTGGGAGAGTGACTGCTCAGGATAAAGGACCCCTTTGGGAAGGTGGTTCTTGGCTATGAGCATGTTAAAAGCCATTTTACTCTAGGCACTTGTAGGACTTTTATTACAGGGAAATTCAGTGACACAAGCACCACTATCAGCACCATTGACAAATGCTGGTGGGGTGGCAATGTCTGGTGCCTCTGGAAGGGCTCACAGAACAGGGGTCTGACCGGTTGTCAAGGCAGCAGAAGACATCTTTGATTTTCCTACTGTTGCCACACTCCCAGGATGACATCCCAACTTCAGAGCTCACGACTTTCACTCCCTCTTGAGCAGACCATCTCACATACTCACACAAGCGCCAGTGTCCAGGTAGTGTGGACAGTGTGCAAGCAAATCAATCTTCTGGCCTGAGTTTAGCATAGGACTCAAGCCATGAGCTACAGTTCTGCCTTTCTGCCTCCATCTCCCTTGGCTGTCAGAGACATGTTTCTCTCTAATGTTTCGCAGGTACCTTGAACCTTACCCAAACTTGTTGCCCTCAGCAGGGGTGTATCGCTCAGCTGTGGGATCTGGAACGTGCCCTAGCTGTGTATTGGCAAAGACATGGATGAGTTGTTGAGTGCCCCCGTCCTTCATCAAGTCTCCCACCATCTTTGTGCTCTCCTCCCACCCATGGCTTGTTGTGTCTGTTTATACTGCAAACTCTTGGAGGAATGGCCATGTCTTTGTGCCAAATCTCACGCAACAGGGCCCCGAGGCCACACAGTTCAGCAAACAAAAAAGGAACGTGGTAGTAAGGTATCAGGGAGAACCGAGATGCCGTTTACCCAGGACAAGTGTTTGTTGCAGAGAAGCTGTGAATAAGATGTTTGGAGCCCAATTAATGGGAATGATAATGAAAGGCATTTATGGTTCATTGGAGCTGGCAAGGCCTATCCTACACAAACCACCTTTGCTGACCTCCTTCTGAGGTTCTATGTGGGAGCAGTTCTAATTGCTGCTGACACTTTACCTGCCGTCTTATGGAGTTAAGCTAAAGGGAAGTGGTTTTGAAAGAGTTTTAGCAACACAGAACGGAGATCATTCTTTGGCATGCTAAACAGTTTCAAAGTAGTTGGGAAAGGAAGAGGAAATTACTTAGCACTATGTCTTTGTGATTAAAAAGGTTTCGCACACTCTTATGGGTACATATCATCAGCAGGTCTCTGTCCCTGCAGACAGTGCCAGAACTGAGTGCTCCATGTGTGTGGAGCTCAATTCAGGCCTGCTGCATTGGAAACAAGACAGTTTTAGCTGTAATTTAGCACCCATGACTCACCAGAAGCTAACACATGTTACTCATAAGCGTATCCGTGGTAAACTTCTATGTGCTGAAGGAGACATACCCCCCACTCTCCTAGAAACTAGATATGAAAGGAAAACCCAGTCATTCTGCTAGGTCAGGACTTTGTTTGTAAAAATGATTTCATTAAATCCATGTGCTATTTCAGTTTATCCATGAACTAGTAAAAGTGATAGGCTGTTTTCATCACTCCCTTTCCTCTTATAGGAATCTCTAACTTTTCTAAATGTCTTCTAAATGAACTTCCTTGAACACACTGCAGTGGCATTTCTGGTGCGCACTCTGTGTCCTTCTGGGTACCTTTCATCCAAGGAGACGATGTGGAAAGACTGAGGCTTACTGAAGAGTAGCACAAGGTTGACTTTCTGTTCCAGAGAAGAAGGGGACAGATTTTATAAATGCCTGACCATTGCTGGCCTCTGAGAACCAAACTCAGTCTGGATGGGTGAATTTGGGTTGAACTTTCTTCAACTGATCTTCCAGAAAAGTTGTGGGGAAGAAGATCTATGTGCTCAAAATGGGAAGGCATAATTTTCTTTCCATTTGGAAAACTCTAGGTACCTTAAATTAGTCCTCTGGCTCTCCAGAGGAGCTATCCCCAGTAAGCAGTAATCACAAATGTTTTGTGTTCCTGTATCTAACGTCTAACAAATCTCTAAACCAGAAGCAAGCTGTAAAATCTTCTTGAAAGAGAACATGAAAAAAAATGGGGAGAAATTTATGGCTCTTGAAATCCTGTGCAGTTTGAGTTTTAATACCTTCTGCTTGCTCTTGAAGATAGGTTGCAAGTGTCATTTATGGAGCTGTGTTTCATACCACTGTCCTAGGTTTTGGACATCTCAGAGGCAGATACATCAGGAGATTAAGGGAGAATTTAAAAAACCCTCAAAACTCCTTTCTCTTGTTTTTATCTATTTGACTTATTATTAGCTGTAAAGTCTGGAGAGAAGTCTTACTTCTCAATTTCACTTGTATCTAGAATTAGGAGGTTTCATCTGCGGGTTTAATTTGGAGCCACACCTATCCAAATTATTTCATGTGTTTGAGGCCAGGGAAGGTTATTCACAGCTTTTTATCCTGTGTTTTGGCGCTTGTGTGATCATGGCTGGCATTATTACAAGCCATGCTGTGATGGCAGTGTTTGGTGGGGCATGGGAAATATGGGCTGTGTTTTGTGATGGCAGTAGCTCAGCTGGCTTAGTTTAACTGAGAATATTTTGGGGGAGGGTGGGGAAAAAACAATTTAATAATAGAAGTCTTTCATCTCTTACTCAAATAACCTGTTGTTGACAGGCAAAGCTAGACAAGATCAGGTAAGAAATGAAATGTGATTCTTTTTTTTTTGTTTTTTTTACGCGATGGTATGGGTAACCAGCTGCTGCAAAAATTACTAAGGCAAGTGGCCGACGGAGTTTTTTGTGCTGGATTTTACATTTTCTGAACTGTTTGGCTACAGGACTTATTTCAGGGGAATCCTGTGGCTGACCCTATGCAAGAAGCTAGGCTAAATGTTCTTACTGGTGCTTTGTGGCTCTTTATTAGAATGTGCTAAATATTCAAGAGAAAAAAATCAGTGCAATTGTTATCTAAAGAGCTTCTTCAAGTCTGCAGTCTTCAGACCCACCGGGCTGCTGGTGCCCGCAGGAGTTAGCAAACTGCACGGGAAAGAACCACACCAATGATTAATGAGCCTACTTCAGCGACAAGTCCTAGTCAGATTTTCTGGATTTATTTCCTGGTGCATCTCTGGAACTGAGGAGATTGTAAAATTCACGTGGCATGCTGAGATGTTCCGACTGATAGCTCGGGCACGTGAGTGATGCAGTCAATCCCCTCGTGAAACTCGTGGGGAGGAGGGAGGGACTCCTGCTCCGACAGGATGCTGTTTAGCGCACGTACAGTAGGAAAGGCTTTTTGAATGAGCGCAGGTATAAGGAATTAGGAGTTCCATTAAGCTGGAATCTGCTTAATGGTGCTCGTGGCTCTGAATTGCAAACAGGAGCCTCAAAAATGTCTCAAAGTCACCTCACACCTTAAACCCCAGAAAGAAAAAGAAAAGGGCCCCAACACTCTGCTCTTCCAAAATCAACTGCCTAAAGCATTTTTTTTGTACAGGGTGGAGTCCAACCTATGACTTATGTCTGGAGTCTCACCAGCAATGTTTCATTTCCTCAAACAATAAAATTAAGAAGAAAGCTCCTGCCTTCGCTTGCAAGATACATGTAGATTGTGAATGCTGATTTTCTCTTGCTGTCATTAATCACACAAGGAGAGTGGGTTTTTTAGCAGACAATCAAATTCTTTCTGCATCAAGCCAAGAGGCTGTTGATTTCCTCCTTGAGTTTTCTACATTTTTCTGAAAGCGACTCTCTGGCCGAGTTCTCACCTGACGTAGTTCGCTGCTGGGGGCAAAGTGGTGATGGCAGCTGTTACAAGCTGATTAGCAGCCTTGCAGAAGCAGAGGTGAATATACTGGCATCCTTGAATATTAGGGATTTTTTTCCAATGGAAGAATAACTGGCAACACTGGGCCTGTTCTCATAGCCAAGAAACCCAGGATCCAACCTTCAGTGTGAAATGGATTACTTGTTTGTCTGTCTTCTATAAGAATAGCGGAGCAGGGTGCATAACCCTCCTGGGGCATGGCAAGAAGAGCTTTTATCCCCAGTGTCCCAGTGATTTTAATTCCAGTTTTGTATTCTCATGGCTTCATATATTCCGCCTTTGTTTTTTCCTCTCCGTCCACCCACCCCACTTCCTACAGTTCTCAGAAGGCAGCTTATTGCTTTCTGGGGAAAAAAGTGAAAAATCAGAGGGAAGGAAAATCCCTGCAGGATGGGATCTGTTGCATAGTGCATGAGCTCCGTATCGGATCAGCTTTGAGAGTGAGAGCTAGAGCAATTTATCGCTTAGGCAACGTGGAGGAAATGACAGGCTACCGTTATATTTCTCCTGCCTAGGAGTCCGTCTGTGGTAGCTAAGTCCCTGATGTCACCCGGCAGCTGTAGCAGAGCAGACAGCGTACTCCCATCTGTTCAGAGGTAAAGGACTGAAATTGAAACAGACCCAGGCAGGACCTTTCTGGATGCTCAGGTCAGAGCGTGGTGCAGGGATGAAGCAGAGGTGTTACAGCAGAGAGGAGAACCGCTGTGACAATCTCTTGTTGCTGTTGTGAACAGCAGTGATTTTTGCCTTGCCCATTGTACACCTCTACTGCATCTCTTTTGAAGGATTAGACCCGCTGCTGCACTGAGGAAATTGCTCCTGCTTGGATGATTCCTTAGACTTCACCGGGTCTTTAAACCCAGATTGCAAGACCCTTAATCCAATTCCTGGAGAAAACCACCAGGACTTCACTGGAGTAACAGAAAGGGCTCCCCAGCTGTTTTCCAGCCTCCTGCTCAGTGTCACATTTTGTAAGCACTAGAAATGAGCCTGTCAAAGGATCACACAGGCTGGGAAGCCCAACCCCAGCTCGAGGCAGGGCCAGGTTCACAAAGCTGCGTAGCTGAGTTTTGAATATCCCGGGATATAGATCCCTCATCCTCTCTGGGCTCCAGGCTCAGTGTTGGAGCACTTTTGGGGGGAAGATTTTTCCTTAAACTGAGCTGGAATTTCCCATGTTCCCACTTGTTCCTGTTTCTTCTCTTGTCACTTGGTCCCCAGTGGTGAGTGTAGTGGGTTCTTTGGGTCCTTTGGCCTGCATCGCCCATCTCCAGGGCTGGGCAGGACCCAGGTGCTCCTGGGCAAGCTGCTCTCAGAGGGTCGCTGTATCTATCCCTACCACATGTGTGGACACTCCTTTCTGGCACAAGTCTATCCTTAAAATTTTACTAACAAAATTGTCTTACAGAAAAATTTCAGGTTGCCATGGTGACAAACTTGCTGAGGATAACAGTGTAGGCTGCAGACTGCTGTAGAAGCAGTCACATGGTCCCTTAGAAAAACATATCTCAAATTTCTTCTGCATATTGTAGCTCTTAATTCAGATATGTTTCTCAGAAGACCATACATCAGCTTATGGCCTCGACCAACTCTGCTTTTGGGACTTTACAATATGTGTTGATTTGTGTCCCGTGTTACTTGTTTCACTGTTTTTAATTTTTTTAGCAGTCTGGTTCTTTTTTTCCTTTTTTTGTTCTTGCACTATTTAGCAATTGATGTGACATTTGTGCACGTGTGAAGTGTATTGCATATGCAGGTTTCCTTTTACAGATTCCTCATGGTGTGATTCTGATGCTAAACAAATTAATAAGCAACTCAGTGAGGCTGAATACATTTTTTCCAATGCTATGGATGTTTGGCTAGTCCTGTGAAGTATGAGACAAATTTTGAGCTATGACATTTCTCTCCCCTCCCTTTTTTTAAAGTAGGTTGGAGACTGAGAAGAATCAAGATCCAAATATCCAGCATGGGAAGAAAGAACCTGATACCATTTCCTTTCCTTTTTTTGTGAAAAACAGTTCTGTAATTAAGTGACTAAACTCACTTTCTGCTGTAATGTCAAAGGGCCATTGGATGAGCTCGTGAGAGCTAAAAGCACATGCTTGATGATAACCAACCGCCTTCTGATGTGTCAGAGCTCACTGGGAGGGCTGTCGCAGACACCTAGCCTTACGTGCCCAGTGTGTGTTGTACCATCTCATAATGATGTTATTAAAGGATCATTATTCCATCTGTTTGTTCTGCGCTGCTCTCTCTGGTTGCTTGTAATTTGCTGTAGTGCTTGTAGCTAATTATTGATTCATTCAAACCAATAAAGGCACTAAATTCCTTTTTCTCTGGGGTGCAAAGCTGTGGGCTAGGTGTCTTGCTACAAATCCAAAGGCTTGAGTTTTATCCCACCAGCATTTATCCCACAAGCACCACCTTTAAATGGGTACTTGACTGCTAATGTGGGGACCTGAGGGAAGCTAATGACAGTGATGGTCAGGTACGTAATGGCTCTTGGGCCAAGGCCAGCTTAGAACAGACTTTTGTTGTGTTCCTCTCCTGGGAAACAGGTCTTTTCAGTCTTGTCCCTTTCTCTCCACTCCATGCAACAGAGTCCCGCCACCTCCACCCTTTGGGAAGGTTACTGTGCAGTTTGGGGGATTTTCTTGTTTGTTTTGTAAGGTTTTACCACCAAGTTTGCTCTTTGGCTATGGTTATGGTCTAGGCTGGTATCAGAGGTGTGCTTCTATGCACATTTAGTTCTCCTAGTGCAGATGTGATCCCATTGGACATAGACAAGTCACCTGTAAATAGGCAGCAGAAGCTGTTCCTGCAGAAGCTGTTCCTACAGAAGCTGTCATCTACGTAGTGAAGGTCCTGAAGAGGTGTTTTGTATGCAGCTGGGATGACAGCAATGCTTCACCTGTGTGCTGGGTTGGCCGTGCAGGCGCCTGGACCAGCAGGATTATAAGGACCGAGCAGCCCTGCGGTGTGGGGAGTCTCTCCTGACCGAGCTGCAGACCCTTCAAACTGCACACTGGAGACTCTTGTTGCAGCCAACCTGCTCGGGCAGTTTGATTCCCTGTGTGTCACCTGATGCCAAGATCCCAGTGAAATAGTTTTCCTCTTACCAAGCGCTCCGTGAAGCATGGCTTTCCACTGCTCCTGGCTGTGATGGAAAGAAACCAGGTGAGGAATTTGCAGTTCTGGGATCGAATGTGTTCTCTGTCTGTCCTTCCCTGTTTACAGCTCCATTTTTCTGGTACAGGGTGGGAAAGGACTCCGGGGAGGTGCCCGTTGCCTGAGCACTGGAGATCCAGATAGGTGGTTTTTATCATGCTTATGATGGATTCGTGCCAAACTGGATCAAAATAACAGGTGAATTTTCTGAGACAGAAACAGGCAAATTAGTTGGATATATGGTGGAATACAACAGTGCCGTTCAGCGCTGAGGAAGGCTTTAAAACATGCAGACATGACAAAGCTGTCCTCTTTAAGAAAAAATATCAGCTGTGTTTTAAGACCTGCTTCCATCCCTGCTCACTCCCACCACGCCGTGCACTGGCTGGGTTTGCAGTCGTGCCTCTGCACTCCCTAGTACTCAGCGGTCGTTCTCAGGAAGTGGAGGTCATGGGAGCTGCAGAATTGGCTCCTTATCATTTATGCAACTGTCCCGCCTTTCAAAATCAACTGATGTTTCTCTATAAAGCGATTCTCCCATCCAGTTTGACTCTCAGTTAATTTTCCTTACTGATTGCAGCAAGGTAACCTGATTTGTAGAGTTTTCTGTCTCACAGAGGTGACAACGCATAGTCAGAGGAGCCTTTATGATTACCCGTAGCAGCAGCAGGGAGTAGAAGGGGGCAGAAGGTGCAGATAAGGACCTGGGGAGTAGAGGTCCAGCAGGGGAAGGGCTGTTTTCCTTTCTCATGGTGGTTTTGCTTTGCCTCTGCGAACAGGACCGGGAACATCACTCCTCCCTTCGTTGTGAGTGCACAGCTCCAGAGTCCTCGCATAATCTGTTTCCCTGCTGCAGTCGAGTAATTTTGGCTGAGCGTCTTCTTCCTAATAGGGGTCACTTCACACCTCCATGCTGATTTTAGGTAGGACCATGACTCTTCGTTTAAAAGCAGGTGGAAAGAAACAGCTTAGCTGCTTTCAGAAACTCCTGAGCTCAAGTGATTGTGGCCTTTGTCTCCTCCTATAGACCCGGGTGTCTTCCTGTCCTAGGCACAGGCATGGGTGAGCAGAAGAACTTCCTGGGCTGCTCCTCTAAGACCTGACTTTGCCTCCTGGAAGGGACAAGGTGGATTGACACATGAGCCAGCTTCAGCTGCTCTTGGACTTCCCTATCTCACTCTTGTTTTTCACAGTTCCCAGCAGACAGTTTTCTTGGCCCAAAAGCAGTCATATTTTGCTGACTGAGAGTAGTGGCAGGCCTCTGCCTCAGCAGAGTAGGGGGGGAGCATATTTGCTACAAAATCCTTGTATCGTGTCTCTGTGTGTCAGGGAAAAGAGACAGAAGAAACTGATGAGCTTGATAGTGGGTCTTCCAAGACCTGGAATAGAAAACTTGTCTTTGAGCTGAGGGTGGGCTAGCTGATGCTGGGATGATGAACCAGAGCCTGTCCCTTGCTCTCTCAGGGGCAGTGCGTTTGGGGAAATTACCATCTGTAAGCAAACAAGAGTGGAGCACCACATTCCTTCGGGAAGCTACTTTCAGCATCTTTAATTTACCTTATCTGCCCTCCGCAGACAGAAGTTCAGTGGCAGGGATCTGTCCCCGCAGTGATTTCCATCACTCATGGGGTACACTGCCACTACGTTGTCACTGGCAATGTGTGGACTTTTAGATAATTATACATTTGCCATTACTGTCTGAGCTAAAAAATCTTACTACTGTTAAAGGATGAAAACCAAGGTTGCTTCTGACCTCCAGATGTGATCCTTGTATAGAAAAGGTCTTCTTCTCTCCCTCACACAGGTGTCCCACAAGCAAAAACTTCTCCGAAGGCAGGACTTTGCCTTCATGTCCCTTGGGAACGAGGGCAGGAGCTTGTCTGCAGGCACCATTGTAGCACGTGCCTGGGCTGTAACATCTCCTTGACAGATGTAATGAAAGGCCAAGCCTCTCCAGTATACATGGGACACCCATATGCTAATCATATGCACACTTCTCTAAAAAAAAAGCAAAGAAAACACTTGGTTTTCTTCCCCCAGCAAAATGGATTACGGATACTTTAAGCTCCTTGCTGCATGTATGCAAATACCTTCACACCTAGAAGCTGATGTGGCATCTGCTGTGCAGATGTTTATCTGGCGCTGGGGACTAATATTTTGCTTTGTCCGCATTACTCAAGTCTTTCGTGGTCTCAAATTGCTGACTCAAGCACTTGTTGCTCCAACATACCAATGATAGTTGCTACGGATGTTCCCTTCCAACTCCCGTGTTTGAGAGTTTGGTCCAAAACACCACAACTGTGTCCAATGAGCAAATCTCTCCTCACTGTGACTAAAGCCTGAAATCCTAACGGGGTCCTGGTTCCGTTCGTGTTCAGCCACGTCCTCACACTTGTGGGCTCCCAGCCTCCAAGTACACTGGTAGGCTCCAAAACTGCTTCCCTCGGGGGCAGCAAGCTCAAATGGAGAAATTTATTATCAAACCCTTTTTGCACTCCCGCACCAAGAAATATTTTGACTCACCGCGTTGCCTGCTAGGCTCCCCATGGCCACCCTGCCCAAGCTATTGCAGTAGCTTTGCTGCGTGAGAATCTGCGTTGTACAAGGGACATTGGTGTTCTGCATTTGGCATAGAAAGGAGGAACGATGCAAAGAGCAAGATGCAGAGTACAGCGAGGAGGAGGCAGGCTCTGTGTGAGCAGACCATGAGTTTTGTTGTTGGAGTTTGCTTGGAGAGTGAAGCTTTATGCAGCAGCAGGGACAAGGAGGGAGCTTTCCCCACACTGCTTAGAGACACTACTTGAAGTAGAAGGAATGTGCAGAGTAGAAATTCTGCTCTTGTAGACTTTGAGATTTTTCAGAAACTCTCGAGACAGCAGAAAAGGGAGCTATGTCTGAAGGGAGACAGCAAAACCATGGGGTATTACACATGGGGCTTGCTCCATACAGGGACTTTGTGGCAGTTCATTTGAGCCTTGGCTCACCAGAAGGCAAAAACATAGTCACCCTTTCAACGCGCAGCATCTGCAGTAGTTGTAGGATGAGGAAAAAAGTGAGGGCTTATGTTGATTTGGACTTGTGCAATAATGTGGGGCACGGGTAGGAACCACCGCAGCCACCCGCTGCAGCTGGGGCAGTGTCAGGAGATCTGTCCCTGCACACAGTGAGCGTGTCCCACGCAGACCTCCGGCACCTCGGTTGGGCCCTGTGGAAGGGGGGAAACTGCTGGGTTTTTACTCTCTATGAACAGGTAGTAAAACCTGCATGCATGGCAGAATCAGTCCTTTTATACACATTTTTTTTTTTTTTTTTTTTTTTTTTTTTCTGTACACCCCAACACTTTTTATGCTGAAAGTGTCTGAGTGGGAATTCCTGTGTTGTGGTATAGATGAAGGCCAACACCATGCAGTGGCGTCGCCGAAAAACCAGGCTCAGCTCCCTTCTTGACCTTCAGTCAACACTTGAGGAAACATGGCAGTATTTGGGAGGTATTTGGGCTCCAGGGTGCCACAGCATTTCATTTCCCAGACCCTCGCTTTGCCGTTGTGCCACAGATGCTCACTGATAATTGCTGCACATATTGCTTGACGTTGGCATGCTTTGTGCCACCATGGGAAGTGTGTTGGTGCGTTGGTAGCCCCAGAGCAATTCTGTTCATTTGGGCTAGCTGGGAATGGGTAGAATTCCCAGCAGCTAGGAGGGGTTCAGTGCTACATGAAACTCATCTAAAAAAATTTCACAAAGGGCAGAGATCATCTCGAGTGAAAGCTGGATGGAGCCTAGCCCATGTTAGGAAGAAGGTTATTGCTCATCCTGAAGGAATGTGGAGATTTCCTGGCATACGGTTTACTGTCAGCAACCTAATCTCAGGTGGGTGACAAACCGGCCTGACCCCTGGATGATCTCTCTGAAATGAAGGATAGGCCTTAATTGCCAAGCCCGGGTCCCGGTCTAGAGCAGCGAGATGCCGGGATCAGGACTCGAGCAGTTTCCAGTCTCGACTCCGTTGAATGTGCAAG